AGCTAGGCGCAGACGGGCAACTTTTTCGAGCAACTTTCAGGCAAAAGTGAAATCGCTGGTCGTTGAAAGAAAAAATCGCTCGTCTGCGCCAACGGGCAACAATAGTTGCCTGCTGTTGCTCCGAGTTGCTTCTCGTTGCCAAATATCAAACATGTTTGATATTCGACAACAGAAAATCGCTCGTCGCCGAGAAATTGTTCATCTGTTGCTTCAAAATTGCTCGTCTGCGGCGGTAGACGACAACAGGCAACAAGCAACTGGTTAAAAGTCCAATCAGCGAGCGCTCTACTGTCATGTGATACTTTAAGATGGAACAGCTAACAACATTAACATGGTCCGTGGAGATTGAAGACATGTTGGTGGAAATGTGGGCTGAGCGGCCAGTATTGAATGATGTAAGCTCAGCCGAGTATTCGAATCGTGCAAAACAAACATGGCTGTCTCAGTGAACTGGCCTTTCACTTCGAAACGACCGGTAAAATATATTTGTTTTTCTCCGGTACTCGGTAGTGGTCATGAAACTAAAAGTCAAATTCAATTAATTGTTTTGTAAATTAATTATAATAATCTGATCAAGGTGATTTATTGTAATACTAAGTTTCCAAAAATCATTCCTGTGATCACGTGATATCGGCATTCCGGATACATCCGGGGAAAAATTCCTTCTCGTTGCCAGTGAGCGCACACGGGAGACCTCGAGTTGCCAATTGCTCGGAGTTGCCAGTAGTTGCCTATTGCAGCAACAAGCGACGAAAAGTTGACCGTCTGCGCCAAGCTTAAATAAATTAAAAAGATCTGTCCCCCCTTAACCCTAGAAGCCAATAGTCTCGAACCGAGACTACCCTTCGTTTCGATTAATTCCTGGTAGCAAGTTTAAAATACGAAGCAATTTATTAATTTTCTAACTCGGCAACACTCGTCTTAGGCAATTCAACGAAGATTTTAGGAACCTTGCAAAATTAAAAAGAAAAAAACGGGTTGTATTCTTATTTTGCCTAACACGTGTGTTTGGGAGATGTGAAATCGCAGAAACTAAACGACAGCACTCTGTAGATAAATAGGGAATGGAAAAATAAAAACGACAATAATTTTTAGAATTTTTAACGTAGTTAGCGATCCAACAATATCTAAAGAAAACGCGTGATGAGAATATTTTTAACATGTCTTTATTTACCATTTGATGTTGTGACAATATCACGTGCATGACCATAAATAGTGAATATTTGCTCCGAGCGCTTGCTCCCTGTGTGCCCGAGCCTGTTTCGTCATCATTGAGAAATTCGTCTTTGGATAGTCAACACTTCTCCAGGTAGGACCAAATTTCTTAGCGGTTAAATCTGGTTGTATGGGGCACCCTATAATTTATGAGCACGGCATTGTTGACACATTGACTGACGTCTTCTCACTCGAAATTGAAAAGCGTTTATCATTTGTATCTTCTTCACAATCCGAAATATCCGAGTACATTAAATCCTTGTTAAATATTTCCTGCATAAATTCGGCACTTGACTAGCTTTAAATAATTCTTTGTCAAAATATACGTTTTCTTTTTCAACCATATTTTCTATAAACTGACTTGCTCGGATCAGTTAGTCGTCCGAATCGTTTGAAAACATTGCACAAAATGAATGCCAGTTTGTAAAGACGTGGTTACTAAAATGTAATGCACGTGCAACTTACGACTAATTTTCTTAATTTTGTCATATCAGTCACAGGGCCGATATGGGATTAACCATTATCCTATAGGTGGAATCAATTAGGATAGATTTAACATTGACATCGGTACGTAAGACAAATATTACCCTAATATCCTCCGGCGATATGTGAAATAACCCACGGCCTTCGCTTATTTCGCCCTCGGTTAGGGTAATATTGATCTCATAAATTGTTGGCCCAGAAAATTGCCCGGAATTTTAACCGGGATTGCGCTCCGTTAGTTCACTTGATTTGATATTTATTGTTTATTTCTTGCAATGTCTATAGTTTGTCTTATCCGCAGGATTGTCTTGCTACTTGTGTGTCTAGTTTTTAGGTGTGCATGTTGACGTGCACGTAAAATAACCATTGGTAACTGGAATCGCCATGTCCGGGCAAAATTAACCCATTAGCACGTTGTATGGGGTTTATCCGTCTTCATTCAGCCCGTTGGAGCAGAATAGTAGGGCGTTAATTAAACCCATTTCATTTCATTTCTGAGAACATATCATGCTTGTGTGTTACATATACGCGACCATGTGCATGCAATATGCAACTTGGCAGAGACAGTCCATGTCAACCTTTGACCTACTAAGAAGAGGCCTAATCTCTAAAACTGAAGCATTCACAACATCACAGAGTGTCGATCTTGTACTTTTACTGGAGATATGAAGTGACCATTGATCTCTTCAGAAGGCGGTTAATCCCAAATATTGACAACTCGGAAAGATTCATAGCGCCACACTGAGTCCCAAGGAACAGTTTGACACCTGTCTTGTACTAGATATGTGCATTAAAGCTAGATTGGGTGTTAATCCTCAGATTTGACAACACAGAAGGATTCATATTGCCACAGTGAGCCCGAAGGATCAATTTAAAACCCATTTTGTGCTGGTACTGGAGGTGTGCAGTAATGGTGAGTTGGGTGGGGCCGTCTAATGGTGATCTTTGACCTCTTAAGAAGGGGATTTATCCCCAAAATTGACAACTCAGAAGGATTCATTACGCCACAAAGAGTCCAAGTAACATTTTGACACCAATTTTGTGCTTGTACTGGAGATATGCATTAAAGGCTCAATACCACTCTTGTTGTAACTGAATAAAATGTCCCAATCTTTATTCTGGTCAGCAAATTGTACTATTTTACAATATTCCAATTAATTGATGATACAAATTTCATCTTAACACACCTAATTTTTTTTTCCTGGAAAAATTCAACTAAATGATTTGAAAAGACTGACGTAAAGCTTTTCAAATGTAACTTGGATTTAAAAATATTTTTTAACCTTCTGGACAAGTAAAATAGGATTTAATGGATAATTTACACAACAGGTAAGACACTAACACATCTAGTGCTTAGAATAGGGCTATTTTTTATTTTCTGGAGCTGTCAAGCCAGCAAGGGTGTTATTGTCCCTTTAAAGGTACACTGAGCGTGGCCGACCAATGGTGACCTTTGACCTAATCAGAAGGTTAATTCGACAGCTCTTAAGGTTTATTTGTCATAGGGAATCCAAAGGAACATTTTGACTCGTGTTTCGTGGTGTCCCCAAAATCATTACATAAGAGTTGCTAATTCTGGGCCTAAAACCTTTTGTGCTTAAGATATTAATTAAATCTTTGCTAGCTCCTTGCCTAAAACGTTTTATTTGTATTCTTGACTAACAAATTATAATGATTGTGGTTTATTTGTGTTATGGAAAACTTGATTTCTTTTAGACCACTGCACATTTTAGAGCCAAGTTATAATCTTAAATATCAAATGAAAAGATCCGTAGGTGAGCTCTTTACAAGATTAGTCAAAGTCAAACAGCATAGTTACACACCTGATTGATACACTAATATGAAATGTACTGATATGACCCAACATTATGCCATTCGTCTACTACGGGTTAATTTTGAAAAAGGTTTAATATAATTTTCGAATGATCATCAAATGGTTTGTTCCTATTAATCAAAATATTAAAAAAACTATTCAACTTGATTGAAAGTGGTCGTGCTGTTTCGTCCACATCATAACGATCGTCTGCGTAAATCCAAGCAATTATATTTAATATATCTGATTTCAGATACGTTATCTACAGGAACATACATAACGACTATCAGGTTATTGTATCAGTAAAAGTTTGATCTGCTACATAGATGTCTGTTGTAGTTTCTGTAATTATCACTAAAAGTTTCACCAGCGTCTTTTAGACACGATGCCAAATTTACATCGCATTCACAAACTGATCGAGCACAGGCGTTGGTTTGGGCATCATCTGCAAGAGAGAAGTACCCAGTTGAATTATTAAAATCTGTAATCGTGCAGAGTTACATGGCATGAACTTCTCATACTAATACATTAAGCTAATCTGTAACGCAATTATTATAATAATAGCCCGCATGTTTCTCAACCTATTATATTATTTGTATGCTGCTCACATCTAGCGTTTGTGGCCCTCGTGATAAATGTGAGTCTCGTGACAGAGTTCTCCTTCGCATAAACAGACGCAATAAACAAAATTTGAGTTATAAACTAGCTTTGTCGCTATTCTGGTAAACGTTTTCGCATATTTACGCTAAAGAGTACGAATTTGTAATCTATATATTTTCGTTTTTTTTGTTTTGTCATTTAGACCTACATTTAAATATTGTTATTACCTAAACAAGTACATGTTGAATTATTGCATTGTATTTCATAACCAGTCCATTGTGGAATATACCAGTAACACGCCAGGCTGCCATAACAGTTATCATGCTTTCTACAACATCTGAAACATAAAAAAGCTTTTAAAATAACTATCTGTAATTAAACGAACATTACTTTTGAAAGAACGGTAAGTAGTTTGCATCATTTAGATGTTCAAATCACTAGCTCACATACTGATGTCACATAAAGAACACTTACGCATCTGCATCATCAACTGGTTTATGGCCGGAGTTACCTAATCCACAGAAACAACCATAATCATTATAATCCCAACATGATCTTTCTGTGTAGAAATTAATCAATCCACATAATTGAAATATTGTTCTCTTTTCACGATGTTGATCTAATGGTCGAGAAATTACACTTAGACCTGAAAATATAATATACTTTCTAGTCTGTATCTTTTATACGCCCACATTTCAAGAATTGGCCGGAGTTACCTAATTAAGAGAGAAACAACCATAATCATCATAGTCCCAACATGATCTTTCTGTGTAGAAATTAATTAATTCACATAATTGAAATATTGTTCTCTTTTCACGATGTTGATCTAATGGTCGAGAAATTACACTTAGACCTGAAAATACAATATACTTTCTAGTCTGTATCTTTTATACGCCCACATTTCAAGAATTGGCCGGAGTTACCTAATCCAGAGAAACAACCATAATCATTATAGTCCCAACATGATCTTTCTGTGTAGAAATTAATCAATCCACATAATTGAAATATTTTTCTCTTTTCACGATGTTGATCTAATGGTCGAGAAATTACACTTAGACCTGAAAATATAATATACTTTCTAGTCTGTATCTTTTATACGCCCACATTTCAAGAATTGGCTTTTGAATGTGGGAAGCTGTGTGGTTTTACATATAAATGCAATACAGAAAGTGCTTACCGTACCGTAGTTGTTAAAAATCCTTAATAATAATTCTATCATTACCCCCCCACCCCCCGCCACACACACACACCGAAGCAGAGTAAAATCAGCACAACCCGGAATACCACAATCCATTTATTTTCAAATCGGTCCGGCAGCAATGCTCCAAATTGCTATCATTGCATCCAAAATTTCGTATACATGTAAGCTTCAACTTTGAATACCAGGGCCCTGTTTCACAAAAACTGAAATCTCCTTAAAATCGTCTTTAACTAAAATTTCATCCTAACTAAAGATAGATGAGTTTCACAAAACGATTTTAAGCATTTTAGATAAAATCCACTGAAACAATATTTTAAGTTAAAATTTCATTCTAACTTAAAATAGTGGCGTTTCACAAAACTATTTTAGTGACAGTTTTAATTTAACTAAAATCAATTTTAACTTAGGGCAGTCGTTACCCTCTCCTTATTTAAAATCACGACATTAACAAACATTGATTAGGGCTACGTTGTTAGATCTATTGCGACATATATAGATATATTTGGAATAATGATAATATTGCCAATGGCCCGGGTCACATAATTTGAACATACCAACATTCACAATAAAAAACAAGTCTCATTCATTTTCTTTTCATAGCATTCGAAATACAGCTACGGTCCACAAGTTTATTTTATTGTAAGTCATTTTAACCATTTGGATGACGTCCCAAATTAGAATCCCAAGATTTACCATATGATTCAAGTATAAATTATACTATTTTCAAATAATTCGGAGACCAAAAAAAACCACTTCATATCTATAAAGAAAATATCTTCGTGTACGCCTACAATGGTTTAAAATGACCAATTTCTTGGTATTAGAATACCTAATGACCAATAGTACTAGACAAGCCATAAGCATAGTATTTACTCATATGTTTTTGGGGTTATGATGATTTGTAAAAAGATAGATAAACTAGAACTGCGACGCAGTAATGACGGGTTTCACCGGTGCCCCGTTACCCTTGAACATATGTCATTTCCGGTACCGATGAAACCATTAAACAGGTTTCCATATAAGGATTGCACACATCAAATAAAATGTACGCAGAATCAACCAAATCCTGCAATATCAATTCGTTGTGTACATTTGTTACATGTAAGTGATCCTGACAAAATTACATTACTTCCGGTGATAATGAAAGTGTTAAATTAGTTTTATGAAATCGGAAATGGCATAAGGCATCACATGGTGAAAATTTTATGTAAATCGAATAATAATTGCCACTTTCATAGACCAAAATCCTTGTAGTGACCTGTAGAAAATCGTCTATTTCTCTGCAACCGTACAAGTTAGAAACCATTTTTTGGTATCTGTATGATCGTATGGGTTAAATCTATTTGTTGATTGGAATCAAATATCATAATTTTAAAAACATTACAAATCGGACTTATTTGAAGAAAATACCTGTTTTAAAGGCTAAAAATACAGTTTTTGCCAAAATGACGTTACTTCCGGTGATAATGAAAATCTTAAATTACTTGAATGAAATCGTAAATGGCATTACGTATCACGTGGTGACAATTTTATGAAAATCGTATAATAATAATTGACACTTGTATGGACCAAAAACCTTGACAAAACCTTATGGACAAAAAAACTTGAAAAGTTACCTGTTGAAAGTCGTCTATTTATGCGCAATTGAACAAGGTAGAAACCATTTTGTGATATCTATATGACCGTATGGGTTCATTCTATTAGTTGATTTGAATCAAATATCAAAATTTTAAACAAATAACAAATACGACTCATTTGAATAAATTGTTTGTTTCGGAGGCTATAAATACAGTTTTTGCCCAAATTACGTCATTTCCGGTGACACTGAAAATGTTAAATTGGTTTGACCTAGTTAAAATGGTGTCACTTTTATGAAAATCCAATAGTAATTGACTCTTTTACCGGCAAACTAGCGTAAATAGTGACTCATGCAAAATTGCCCATTTCTCGGCAACTGCTCATATTACAAACTCATTTTCACGTACATTCTCTTCGTATGGATTATTGCTACAAGTTTATGAAAGTTACGAAGAAATATTTTAAAATATGAAGACACTGAATGGGTTGTAAATAGCTTAATTTTACACCGTTTTTCACCTTTTAATTGAAATAGCCCGAAAATGATATAGAAATTAAAAAAACTGAGTCCGATGTTTTGTGCGCCTTTGCATGGCGCATCCTTTTGGTAATATCAAATTTTGAAAAAATAATATTTGCTTTCAAAAAGTGGTACCGAACTGTCAAAATTATAGTTTTTGCTACAATTATGTCACTTCCGGTGCCGACAGATACCTCTATCGTTAAGAAAAAAATGACATTTTGGAAAAAGGGGCATATGAACTTAGTTTTAAACAAATCGAACAATAAATAATCAATCTAGGAGCGAAAAACTGAATTAGTCAATGGCGGGCAAGCAAAATAATCTAGACAAAAATTGTTGACATTTTTGCTCAAATCAAATGACCCTTTAGCCCTGGATAAAATACCAGAAAGAAATATTCATTAATAAAAAATTTTATGTCAAAATTTAAATTTTCAAAATTTGGCGCCTAATATCTCCAAAGATTCATCGAAAATCAAAAAATCTAAAGACCCGTAGCTATGTGCCTTGTCTCTGGCTATGTCAAAATATATCAAATGTTAAAATCCGGCAATTATTGTTAATATAACGGCAATATTTAAAAAAAAAAACAATTTCGGTGCTTTTGGACATTTCGCATTGTCGCATTTACATCTTTCCTGTAAAACCAAAGATATCGGACTGATCCGACTAGTAGTTTCTGAGTTATACTCAAGTGGAAAATAAATCGGCCAACGTGTTTGATGATTTTTTTTTGGGTAAAAACAATCATCACTAGACTTGCTTGCAAGACTGAAGGCTTTCACCGTGCCAAGGCGTCACAATTCCAACTGCCAAGGGATCTTTTACAGTCACACCAATGTGTATGCGGGACTTCGGAATCGGGTTCATGTCAGTTACTGAAATATGTAACTGGTTCAAAAATTAAATATCGCCAATTTTCTGGTTTCGTGAACGTTAAAGATTTGACGTCACTAACATGTAAAAGTTTACTATTACTTACAGACAGAGTCCAGGATCAAACAACTGAAGCAGTCAAGAGCCAGGATGTTCGCGACTACTTTGTTTTTTTTATATTTACTGATACTATCATATTTCATTATTTGTTAGCGTAGGACATTGTCATTTATATATATATTCAAAAAAAGTAGGGGATATTTGATTTTGGGGGCATAATACTAAAATATGCAAATGACTACGAAAAAAGTCACTATAGAACCTAACAGAAGAAACATTTCCAGTTACATGTGACGCCCAAACGCACCAATAGCTACCGCATGGAATGCAGGTGATGCTTGGGATCATCATGGGGGTCCAACACAAGATTTGCACGACTCTGACTTTGAATGTTACAGTCATTGTGGCATTGAATTCCAGGGTGGAAACATCAGTTTAATTGTTTTAGTGACCAGAAAACAAATTTTGATATGCGTCGGCTTACCCAAAATGAAAGGTTACGTGCCCTTGGCATGCTACAGATCGGCACAACACAGGCGGTTGTGGCGCGGACGATGAATGTTTCTCAGTCTGTCATAAGCAGGCTATGGTCCAGATACCGTGATACACAATCTGTACAGGACAGACCACGCTCAGGTCGACCAAGGGCGACAACTCAAGCCCAGGATCGATTTATCCGTACCTTGGCCTTGAGAAATCGTGTCATCACAGCAAATCAGATCAGCGCTCGTCTTCAAACAGACACTGGTGTGAGAGTGAGTGGCCAGACGATTCGGAATCGACTGCATAGGGGTCACCTTCGCGCCCGACGTCCTCGCGTGATCCCTTGTTTGAGAGATCATCACATTCAGGCAAGACGTCGTTGGTGTAGGGATCGTCAACTCTGGGATAATCGACGCTGGAGCAATGTGATGTTTTCAGATGAGTCAAGGTTCACTGTTGATTTTTTGGACAGACGTAGGAGGGTGTGGCGTCGTCATCAGACATGATCGATTTGGGGGTGGTTCTGTTATGGTGTGGGGAGGCATCACTGTTGCTGGAAGAACGGCTTTACATGTTGTTGCAGGGCGTGTTACAGGCCAGTACTACCGGGACAACATCTTGGCAGTCCATGTTGTGCCGTCGTTCGCACGACGTCATGGCCGCCGTTTCATCTTCCAGGATGACAACGCAAGATGTCACAGGGCCAGGATCGTTACAGGTTACCTCCAACAACAGAACATCACCACATTACCTTGGCCAGCACTGAGTCCCGACCTCTCCCCCATCGAGCATGTCTGGGACATGCTTGGACAGAGGTTACGTCAACGTCAACAACGTCCTGCCAATGTCCAAGAACTTGCTGCTGCGTTGCAGCAGGAATGGGACAATCTGGACCAAAATGACCTTAGACGTCTCATTAGGACTATGCCACGTCGGATCAATGCTTGTTTGGCAAACAGAGGAGGATTTACCCGTTACTGACTTGGTTGTGATGCTGTGGTAACTTTGCTGTTTGACCCCGGGTATCATTTTACCCTTATAATGGTCAGTCTGTGCATTACTTAGTCTAACGATCATTTGGAATAAATCGATGAATGTGAACTTCATTTCATTTTGTCATTTGTTTCTTCGTCAGTTTCATTAGGTGACTTTAATAACACTTAAAAATCAAATATCCCCTACTTTTTTTGAATAGTATATATTAAACGTGTATTATATGTCTTATCATAGAAGTCTATAGTGTTATGTTCTTTCGTAATCATTTGTTTAAATACCTTAATTGTTCGTACCTGGGGGGGTTGGATGGCTGAATGGTAGCGTGCGCGCGCTGTATCATA